TGACGTCGCCGCTCCATAATAACGTTGGTTTTAATCAGTAGTAGGGAAACAGTAGCACTAATAATGTCTTCAATGCGTTGTATGTTTTTATAGGGAAAATATTGACAGCTGATTTTCATCTTTTACTCGAATTTGATTCACAGTTCCTGATTCAAATTATGAAATGCACCAAAAAGGATCCATATAAATTTATAAAATCGTAAATTTATTACAAAGCCACATCTCAATCTCAAGAAATCCGCATAAAAATGCTTGATCCCTAGACACTTTTGATGTGTGTATAAAGGCGTAATTTTGTGAGTGTTTGTTACTTTTTCACGTCTAAACGGCTGGAGCGATTTGAATAAAAATTGGTATGGAGTTAGCTGGAGACACCCTGGATTAACACATAGGCTACATTTTACTGCGGGAAAATATCCGTAATTAACCGCGGGTAACACCGCGGGGCACAGCTAGTATAAAATAAATGTTATTTAAGGAGATTAGAGATTGCGAGGGGGCATTTAGTAACAGATTAGGTAGGGGTAGAGATGGGGTGCTAGGTCGGACAACCTCCTCGTGGTGCACCCTGGGCAACGTCGGTTTGAGCTGATGGTCTGACGAGCGGCCCCCATGGAGAGGGGGCGTGGTATAGCTGGATTATATTCGGCGGCCGCATTTCGTGGCTTGTGGGGGTGATTTTCGCCAAGGCGCTTGCGCCTGTCGGTTACCATGGCTGGCGTCCTGGGAAGCCTGGGCCGCGGCAGTCGTGGTGTGTCCTTTCACGGACGGGGCGGTTGTGGCGCGAACTCCGCGTCGCCTCCGGCCGACCCGTAACCCCGCACGTGGTGCGGGACCGGGGGCTGCCACCTTTCGAGGTGGAGGCCGCAAGGAGATAACCTTTTCAAAAATAACTTGACGAGGCCAGGTTGGGTCCCCCTCGCCCGGAAGAGGGGAAAAACAACATGATGATAGGTTCCAACAAAAATAGTAATACCCCAGGGGGTACTAATCCCCTCCGTAGGAACGCGGAAGGCGGCTGCGGGCAACCGGTGTATTCTGGGGCCGGTCGAACAGATTGTCGTGTTTCCTCATGCGATCCCGTTGAGAGGAGCGGGCGCCAATCGGTATCCGGGCCGGCTGGTGTTAAATCTGTATCCGAGGCGTTAGTGGGAGACCCATATGACCCCGTTGGGACCGGGCGCTCATCGATATCCGGGTCGGCGAGTGGTAAATCTGCTACCGAGGCGTGTGTGGTCGCTCTAGAAAAAGGCCCTTTTCAGGGCCAACCGAAAGGCCCTTCTCAGGGCCAATCCAAGGATGGTGCAATCCTTTGCGAGAGTCCTGTGGACATACCTAGAGCCACGCGGTCGCTCTGGCTCGGCGTCTTCCGCAAAATCTGTGTCGCAATCGCGAAAGTGACAATTGGCTGAGTCTGACTCGTCATCCAAATCCGCCCAGTCTGTCATATCCATGGCGGATTCGGTGCTTACTACCGAGAATGCTTCCGACGCTGCATCCAACGCCTTGCGGCGTCGGAAAAAAGTCAAAAAGAGAAGTTTGGGGGATTTGCGTTCTGCGTCGGATACTGATGCTCCGATCCACGGTCCGCCGAAAAAGGCTATAGGGCGAGGGCGCGGTCGTGGTCGCCCCCCTACTACCGGCGAATACGTTGGGCTCGCCAGAGCCAAACAGGGGCGGCGGAGGCTGAGCGAGCTCAGCAACAGGTCTCTCAGGTCTTTCTCACGGCGGAGAAAGATATCGCCGAGGCGGAGAAACGGGCCTATGACGTCAGGGCGAAGTTCATGGCGAGCAGGTTGGAGAACAGCGCATCAACGCTGTTGGGTTCCACCCCTAAAACCTCCATCGATATCGAGGAGGTGACCCCTCAGTCCATCACTGTGACGCAGCTGAGGATACGGCACAGCACACATTGGAGGTGTGCCCGGGCTTCTCCCAGCGGCGGCAAGAACTAACCGCCATAATAGGCGATGATCTCTCCCTCCAAAATGTGGTCTGCGTCATGTTGGAGGGGCAGGAAATGTGGGACGCGGTGAACTCCTTCTGTGTCGACGTCATGACGCAGAAGGATGACGCGGAAAGGGCCCGGGAAGAAGACCCAGAGGCCGCTCCTTGCCGCCGCGGAAGGTTAGGGCGGAGGAGGCGGACGTACGCCCGCCTACTTCCTCCTGACGGCAACCAGCGGGGTCCAGGCCCGGGAAGCCCGGGCCCTGCATTGCCCCGGGGGATCACCGGCCCTCCCATTTTGGCGGGGTGAATGGGGCTCGCTATAGGCGAGCAGACGCCGACGAGGTCGTGGATGTGTTCTCGCGAGTTCCCATGACCTTGTCCGGCAGCGACGCGTCCCTCCCCGACGTGTCCTCTTCGTCAGAAGACGATGAGGATGCGGCGGTGATGGACGTGCTCGCGCCAAGGCGTATGTGAGGGGCATCGGTGGGTTTTAGTCGGTAGGCCGCGGAACGGCACCTTCTGGAGGGCATTCTGTCTGCCCCCAGAAGCCGCGGAGAGTCCGACATAACCCCGTGCACCCCAAAGCGCGGGGTATGCGTAATGCATTTCCCACCTAAAGAAATGCATTTTCCAAGAAAGAGCTAATACCTTATTAAATCATGGCATTAGCCAACCAATCGCTTAGCTCTCACTTTACTTTTAATTTACTTTACAGTTGTATGGGGACGTTCAGTTCAATCTCTGTTTATAGTATCATACCATGTGGGGGCGTCCATTAATTACGTGAGATGTTTAAGGGGGGGACGGGGTCGAGTCAAATCTCATCTAATCTTACGTTGGAGAGAGGGGGTTCTCGGCAAATATCACGCAATTTTATTTCTGATTGAAACAAAAAAGTATTTTGGTCCATTTAATTCAGATTGTACATGCTTAAGATTTAATTTTAAGTCTAATCGTAATAAGAAAAAGATCATTCACTAATTCTATCGAAAGAAAATAATTTCATTCATTACTGTGCGCAAGCGCCAGCGGCTAAGAGTGGCTAGATCAGAACGAAGTTGAAGGAGCAGATGATTTTTCTGAAAATCATATGGACATATGGGTTCCAATCAGTGCCGTCTTTGATCTATTGGAGGCCCTGAGCATATTAGGATAATGGGGCCCTTATGACTTCCGTTTGGTGATTTAACATGAACTAGGGACTTTGTATTTGATCTGTGGGGGGCCCCTATCGATCCCGGGCCCTGGGCACTTGCCCAAAGTGCCCACTGGGAAAGGCGGGTCTGGTTCCAATAGTCTCTCTTGAGACCGCGCATGATTCTCCATGGACTGAATTAGAGTTTAATTAATTTTTTATTACACTTATAACTCTCAGCAATATTGATAACGAGTCTTAACTAGTAGTAAGTAAAGTTTTTTTCTTTTTTCAATAACAATCCAACGCATTTACGTAAGAAACCCACATTTTGAAAAATCTCACGTGAGATTGGGGGATGGGGGGGGGGGGGGAGTTGAAAAAATCTCACGACATCTCACCAGGGGGGGAGGGAAAACATGCCTGACAGCAACTTATGGCAATGTAAGTTCCTACTACTTGTGTGTCTTAGGACTTGTCTTAGGAAATGTAGTGTCACGGGTGTCACAGTTATTATTCTGAGGATATCACTCGAAAGGATAAATTGCCCCTGCGTCCGTGGGCTCCGTAAAGTTTTATTATGCGCCAACTTCGGAATTATAATTTAGTTGTATGTGCTGTACTGCACATACCTGTAAAATCGTGAACACTCAAAAATGCTTATTTGCGTTATAAATGTTTCAGTCTCCTTTATTTTAGGTTTACCTTAACATAATTCATGGATTCTAACAGTGGATGTCACAACACAATCAAACATTCGAAAAGAACTCCTAATTGTGATTGCGCGAATGTACTTCTCTTAAAAAAGGGGCTTTTAATGAACTAGCGATATGCGTCGGGGGTGTAACCCCCCTGTTTCTGTAATTATCCAGTTTGTGTTGACCTCCCATCGCCTGCGTAGTATTCCTAAACAGATGTCTGCTGCGTTAGATGTGACATGTGATATGACGGCATTATTTAAAGAAAGAACGTAAGTACTTGTATGATGCTAAGCGAAAATGGCTGTTTTAGATATGTAGAACTAGAGTTGCGTTTCTGCTTTAGAAATTTGCTTTGACTTTGACAAAGAAAGTATTAACCATTCGATTCGAGATTCGTCAATCGAAACACGGATATGATTTGTATTGTTAGGCCAAATAATAATATATTATATATAATATATATTATTATATATATATAATAGTTGCTCCAGTATTTGCAAAAATCATGAGACATTTATTAATTTAATATAACATCGTCATTGATCTTGAAAAATAAATACATACAAATACAAAACCAATCTACTATTCGAGGCTGTTGAATTTTGTAGTTGGACTCTAGTTAAAATTTGTATATTATAAATAGGTAGGTACCGTAAGTTATAAATTGATTATTAGAAAAAAGTTCTACCGATACTTTCTTTGCAATAGCCTAGACCTAACACCTACAAATCACTACAATGCACCCGTTTTACTAAAACTGACTTCGTCATTAAAGCACAGAAAAAACCTATACTAGTTTTTTTTTCGAAATCCTGACAGTAAGTAATTACACGTTAGATAATTATTAAAACTAAAAACATATATAAATATAAAAAAATGTTAAATATTGTTTTTGTTTCACAAATAATAACTCGTCTTTTTATTTGAATATTCTGTTTTTTTGCTAAGCAGTAAGTTCACCAACAAATCTGCACTGGGCCCACGTGGTGGGTCATTGTCCAAACTCCCTATAATAACCATAGGGAAGGTCCGTGCCGCAGCAGTGGAGACGTTAGTATACTGATGATGAAGTGGTAAGTATTATGTACCTACGAAAATATCGAAAATAATTTGAGTTTGTTTTAGGAATGTCCATATTAAGGATGCAGTACCAAAATGCGTTGCAACCTGGGTGCCGTGAATGAAGTTGAAGCATATTCGGTTTACTCGCAGTTCGATTCCCAAGGTGTCAAGTTGTGTTAAACGTAGCTTCCTGAAAGACTTTGGTAGACATTAGTAGCTTCATGTGACAGTAGAATCAAGATCCTAGGAACTTTTTTAGGTAAACTTAGGAAAGTAAGTACTTATAATAATTAAATATTATTTTTTAACTATTCTACTGTGTGTTGTCAAAGTTAATAATCACAATATATTTCATGAAGTGACAATAGCGTTTTGATATAAGTCTGAGTCTGAACTGAATTGGTAAATTACCTGTATATATAACATTAGACATGCATCAAAGCTTTTTAATTAGTACCTATATTATTTGTTGACTACATTATTTCAATTACCAATCGATTATTTCAATTACCATAATTTAATTAGTACCAACCAAAGGGATATGCAGATTGTAATAAACCACCGGTAAGTTTTTCCTATTTCTTTTTTGTTTTTATTGAATTTTTTGGCAAGTGCGATTTTTATTTGTATTTTTGCGACAGTTTTATTAGTGCCTATGTTTACCAGCTCTGTCTTCTCTATATAATAGAATCGTTATTTTTCTTGGTCACGGTATAAATGCGCATTTACACTTGGTCGCTAGCCCGTAAGTGGGTGCACGAAAGATATTACTCGAATCCGGGCACCCGATGCAATATTAACATTGTTTTTACTCGAACACGGGCTGGAAGACGGCGTCGGGTAACCAAAACGAAAATTACAGGCGTACACGACTCCGTTAATTTACACTTAGTCGTTTCTCCGAATACCATTGGCAATCATATTCGGGCTAACGACCAAGTGTGATTGCGCTATAAATTAAAAATGACCACAGTTGTCATCCAACCTATTTAATTTTCTTATACTTTGTACTTAGATGGTTCTTTAAAAATACCGGAAAAGATCGAGTCGGACTCACCCACCGAGGGGTCCATACAAATTTATAGGTACACAACATAAACGAACGTATCTATTTTCCGATTATTATATTCATTAACTCAGAAGTTTGATTTTTCACAGCTTCAAGGGACCGTAGTTTTGGGTTTAAATTTAAATTTCAATTCGATACCTTCCCGCGTTCCTGAGATAAAGGGGCTTGACAGAAACACGGACAATAAACAGATCCTATAAGGGTTCCGTTTACCCTTTCGTGGTAAAAGAAGCCAAAAAGAAATTTACGTAGAAAACCAAACATTTTAAGAAAACAACTTAAACAGCTACGCGATGTAAAGGGGAGATTTATTTATCGACTTATCGCGATTAGGCGGCATCGGCACTGCAGTTGGGTTTTAGATTTTTTATCGGGCAAGAGATCATCTGTGGGGTCCGCTAGTTATGTATAAACTCTAGACACGCCGTGACCTGGGAATGTCTTTACAGAATTCCTATATATATATATATATATATATATATATATATTAATATACCTTATAGAAGGTTTTACGGAAAAAAATAGACAGTTGTGCGAAATTAAAGTTAACTGGACACCTTGAACTATAAACAATGACTTTGGACGTCCAACTTTACGGACCGAGAGGTTTTCATAACATCGAATATTTTGAGATATTTCGAAAAACTCCCATATTAAAAGGGAGTTTTTTTTTCTGGACGAAATCGCACAGAAACTTACTCAAGACTTACAAAAACTTCAAAAACAATTGTCTTTCTTATAAAGGGCTATTTCCTCTTGTTTTTGAAGTGAAAACTTCTTTAGCGGCGTTGTACACTTTTTTTTTGTATGGATAAAAAATGTTAAACTCGCGTCAGGTTAAACACGTGGGCTGATCGCATCATGACACACAATAAAATTGGAAAGGTTGTTGACTTTCAATATATTGGACGAAACATAGTAATATTTTATTTTATCGTATTATAATAATAAGTCTCTATCTAGGACGTCCACGTGGCAGCTGCGAAGAAAATGCATTTTTTACAATAGATGTCGTTAGGTGTGCTTAAATGTGATTCATGTAAGTTGATTTCTTTGCAATAGATGTCGCTAAGTGCGCTTAAACGTGATTCATGTAAGTTGATTTTTCTGAGAAATAAACTTTTTTAATGTAATATAAATTGTTATGTTTGTGTACGATAGCGCAATAAATAAATATTGTATTTTACCACATATATGATAGTACTTTTATACTAATAATTAAAGCAATTCCTGCAAAATTATTCCCTAACTATTCCAAAATATCAAAAATACATATAGTTATTAATATTCAAGTTTTCACTTCTGCCGGCACTCCCGGAGTGCAACCCGTCGTTTTTTTTAAAGTACCTACTGTAAATATAACGTTCAAAAAGACTCTTAAACAACAAATAACTTAAAATCTCTTTTCTTGTTAATGCCGGACCTAAAGCTAGGCACAACAAAGATATTTTAATTTCTCCTTTTAGTTACAGCAGATAATAATTGATTAAAATCATTATTGTTTCGTACTTACTTTTAATATATCTGGGGAAGTAACTTACTCCTTGTAGTAGATGGCAGTATAATAATACTACCCTTTGGTGTGTTGACTTTGAGTAAAGTTCCACGCGGTAGTGGATAGGGTAGACGCCGCAGCGAGTTAGAGTACCCCAATCACGAAATTTGACAGCTCCGTATTCGTATCGCCAACGTCAAAGTTTCTATGAAAACTACTAAGCGCCCGTAACGGACAAACTGGCTTTTTTCATTGAAACTGACAAGGCCATACGAATATTCTCGCTCGTTCGTGCTTAGAGTACCGATATCGCGGCCGCTTATCATCAGGCGGACCATATTGCTTGATTGCCACCATTTTTAAATAGAATAAAAAAAATACGTAAGTTAATAAATTTTTCATCTCGTAAAGAGTATTTTTGCTCTTCGATATCTGAGTGCGAAAGTAATTTTTATCCAAATTTTTTCCAAATTTTTGAAAACTGCTTATAATTAAAGATTGGGAAAAACGATTTAACAGAAAAATAAAAATTTATTAAAGTTGAATTAATTTTAATAGTTTTGGATTTACTGCCGAAACGCTCGGTTTGATAACGTCTACTGTGTTACATCCACATTGTGTAAAGAATTTTTAACACCTATGCAATCTGTGGACGATCTGTGATTACACGTATTTTATTTACGATATCACGTATGTATTTTATTTACGATTTCTTTGTTAGAGACATCGAAATTTATTCTTAATGAAGTTAATCTTCAAAAATGCTGCTTCACAAATATATGTTGACTCAAACAAAGTCAGAAGTTTCAAAGCTAATTTTTGTAGTTCTGGATATTTATTACCACACACAAATTTTATCCAGAACTCTTCACTGGAAACTTCCGCATGTTTGTGTCGTTTGCATTTTGGCAGTACAAGTTACAACTTTGACAGCGCGTCATGAGTATACTACGACGTTTGATCGTATCGTCACTCGATTAGAAACTTTCAGTGACTAAGTGTTTCGGGCCAAGTTTTTATGCAATCTAGTAATGTTTTCGGCACTATATTTAGCTCTCATGCTCGCTGAAGACATTGACAAAGACCAGCGTGCACAGGAACGACGGGAATTATTACAGCGGAGACTTTAATTTCTTTTATCACCGACAGGCTTTTGTGCAATGTATATATATTTTTGATGTGTTAAATCTTTCCTCTCGCTTTCCTGCAATTTGTGGGAGTGATTTCGTGAAATGGGACGAAAGTGTGTAACAGGAAGTCGCGAAAACGCGCACTATTTGATTTGATTTTAGAACATAATGTTTAAATGGCTTATTCCTTTTGTAGTAGGTTTTATTTATTTTTTTACAAGGTGAGGTTTCAAATGTTACACATCATAGTAGAAGGCTCGCTTGTTTTTTAATTTTATTTCTTTACGGCCTTGAAGTCAACCAAACAGCCAAGTTTCACGCATAGATAAACGTAGGTTCTATGCTCTTTGGACACAGATCAATAAGATTAAGTCTAGAGTTTTACAAATTAGCTTTGTTTAAGGTTGAATTGGGAGTTTTTGGCGCGATTTCATGAGTGCGGTTGGCGTCTTATTTCAATTATTCTTAAATTCGTTCATAGTGGATATTGTGAAACAAAATTGGTGTGATTTTGTGTTACAACCGTCTGCGCAACTGAAGAATTAGTGGAATCTTTAAAATATACTCAATTCTGGTCAAGTGAACGTTAGAATTTTATTGTATGTCACAGAAGCTTATTGAAAAAGCCAATTCGATACATTTCGTGCCAAACATTCCAAGAAACATTAAAATGCGTCACACCGACATTCTAATGTAAAAAAATAAGATTAATATAACATAAGATTAGGCTGTATGGACATTGTTCCCTTTGCCTTGCATAAAAAGGGAGAATCTTTAAAAAAAGGTTAAAATGAATAAATAAATAAATAAATATTTCCAACACTCACACCAATTAGCCTAGCCCCAAAGTAAGCACTGTAAAGGCTTGTGTTATGGGATACTAGGGTAACGGATAGAATACATATATTGTACATATATAAGTATATTTATATGAAATACATATTAAACATCCATGACTGGAGTACAAATGCTCGTATTCATCACACAAACATCTGCCCCCACCGGGATTCGAACCCGGGCCCTCTCGAGTCGGCGACGCCATGAAACCCGGCGTATAAACCACTCGGCCACGGAGGTCGTCAAATGGCTCAGCTATCTCTTTTTTGGCAATAAAGAACGAAAGAGACAAAACTAAACAGTGTGAAGTTCGTTTAATCGAGTCATCGAGCTCGTGCATACGAAATCGTGAAAACGAGGAGTGAAATTCTAAACTCGTACTGCGACACAATTCGAAAACGTATAGTTTGATCGAATCGACGAAGACGATTGTTCGTTTCGTATAAAAAAAAACTCATACTAAGGGTACTGATTATCTTATTTAAAGTGTAAGCATTCATTACCAAGTTCATTAATAAAGAGATTCAGCTTTCGCACAAACCTTTTTACTTCTGACATAAGCTCCCATACAAGTTTTCCCTTGGCTTGAAGTTTAAGGTTCAGGTCATTGATATGTTTAAAAATATCCGTCAAGAAAGCAATGTCAGCTACATTTTCTTTTTCGTTTAGGAAACTAAGTAGACCATTGCTGATATGTCATCTGTTAAACAGAAATGTCAAAATTCAAAATTCAATACTACAA